CAAATTTTTCTAGCGCGTCTACAGGTATCAAGTATTGGAAGAAGAGAAAACGGTAGATTTAACGAACAGTCCATCCAAACAGCAACAATCGAACACAATTGAAAAGATTTAGGACAACCGAAAACAAGATCAAGAGTATAAGAAAAAAATTAAGTTTATTTTTACAAGATCATGAAGAATATCGCGATGTTGGAGTACGAAAGAGAAGGAAAAGTTATGAAAGAGTGTCTGGAACGTGGATTACAGGTTTCACACAGGGATGAACTCGTATGTTACTACCCACCATGTTGATCCGTAACTTTTTCTAATAGCCTATTAAAAAACTTTTTATCAAATTAAAAGTGCACTACTTAATGAACCATTTATACGTAGCACTACATAATGATTTCACTAATTTGAAAGATTTTTATCCAGGCCGCGAAGTTCAGTTTAAAATGTAATTATTTCTTCTGGATATTATCTTAATCATTTGAATGAGGTGCGAAAACCATGAAATAAATGGGAATATTTTAAATATTTTCTCCCAAACTATAATTTCTTTTTAAGAGATGCAGTCAGGATTTTTCGCTTGGGTTTCTCTCTCAGGTATATTGTTCAGCCGTTTTGAAATTTTCATATAAAGAATTGTTCATTTATTCTAAATATAAAAAATTATTTTTATTTGTTGTCATACTTTTTTAATAGTAGTTACTTTATATTAAGAATTAATATATTGAATGATCGTCGTTAGCAAAGAAAATTAGTAAAAGCTATGTTTTGTAATGTGTATCATTAACTTCTGAAAGCGCTGAAGAGTCATGAACTCCAACCCTTGCTTTCGCCACTGATTCTCTTTCTTTTGTTCTTATTCGTTTCGAAGTATTACAGATATTTTCAATAAACAAACTTTTTCTTCCAAATCGTTCATTGTCACTCGTGTATTTCTTTTGAGATCCAACTAAGGAGATTATGAGTCCAGAGTAGGCAAACTGCATCCCAATTTGGAACGATAGTTTATTTTCATTGCTCTTCGCCAGAAATAATGTAATGAAAATATTATATATTTTAATGAACGTACAAAGATCGTACAATGACTTAGTAAATATTTTGTTTTAACCGAAATTTTTATTGAGAGTATGGAAATTAAAAATTTAAAAAATAGCCCGAATTACGTATCTTTTCCCTACACCTCAAAAGGCAATTGTTGCTTCGTTAAATATATAATTTTACTATTTTATGTAGTGTTTTTAACGGCAAATGACATATTTCAGCTGAAACTGCAAAAAAGTAATGAAATTGAGCATGAAAATGATAAATTAGGGCTGCGATCGTTTCAGATATCACGCCCATATTCCAAGTAATAAAGGGCACCGAAATGCAGAGAACCGAAATGGCATAGAGTAAGACTTGACAATAAATCTGAAAGATCCAAAAAACCACTGCCTTACTTCCCTTGGATGAATAACAAACTGATATGGCAAAAAAAGGCACTACCTTGTATTTACAATATTTAAACATGACCATTCAGAGAGAATACAGCTTTCTGTTACAGCAAATACACTTTTACGGTAATGTCACACAAAATTACAACGTTGAAGGTAATAACAGCTAGTTTCCTTGACATCGCGGCACATGAAAGAATGTGAATAAGCTTGAGCGAGATAACCAGAAAACTCGCATATAAAAGTAAATTGCTCACACGACACGATACTTTTCCGTGTACGGAGCTGATATTAATTTACGAGCAAGTACGCACAAGAAAATAAAAACAGAAAGAAAAAAAAAACGATAGCAAAAACTAGAGAGAAAATCGCGAAACAATTGGCCCTTGGAGTTCAAAGCTACACGCAGAATATTAAGGCAACGTTTCTCTACTTGTCTGCAACAAAAACGATGTCTTTCCTAGCATTGTGCACATGCCATAACAGTGATATACTGAACTACGAAATCCATATTCACGAAACGCTTAAGATTCAAGGCAGGTGGCAAACGTGAAACGTTTGTTGTTTAAAAAGTTACAACTGAACACCTAATTTTCTGTTAATTCTCTGAACCGAAAGAAATTATTTTCAAATTCCTTTTATTTCTATGCATATTTAAAAATTCATGAAGAGATCAGTTGATAATGTTGATATGCCACTCAATATCATTCATGAACATTGCTTCCAATTGTAATTTTGAATCACGAAAAATATATTTATTGGATCAATAAAAAATGAGAATCAACTACATAATGTCAAATTTATTTATTATAGTAACAATAAATACCGACACTTCCCTCCGAGAAACTCCAGAGAAACGTGAATTCCGGTGAAAAACGAAATAACATCAGGATAGTTAACAATTTCAGCAGTTTTTACTTTTTATAATAATAATAATAATAATAATAATAATAATAATAATAATAATAATAATAATCGTATCCCAAATTGCCCCCAAAAATATCGTGAGCAAAATGTGAAAAAGTAGTATGCTTCAGTTCACAGGAAAAATTCTTTTTTTCTTTTTGTCCACTTTACACCATGCTTTTGCACATGTCGAGTCGAAGAACTGCAGTAAAAAGCGACGTTCTTGAACAATTGTTTTGTTTCTAAATTCGGTTTTAAGCTTTTGTTTGTATCGCAGCGACAAAAGACTTAACTCGGCTCGGGTTCCACACGACGCAATTTGTCGTGATAGTGTCTCTCCTATGGGAGTAATCAACTCATTCTCCTGGCGCATCTAGCCCGTTGCTCTCATTTCGCAGAGCGACCCGGGCGACAGGGAGGGGAGAATGGAGCAGCAAAAATACGGTTCCTCTCGACAAGTCCGCTACAACTTCGCAGGCAAAAATGAATTTACTACATTAACCTAAACGCGAAACTAGTATTCATTAATCATTGAAAGAAAAAACGTAATTCCGGAAAATAAAGACGAAACGAACTTGCAAAACATAATAACAAATACGGAGCCGATTTTAACGATCTAAAACATCGCCTAAAATGATAATTAAAATGCACACAAAATGTTTTTAAAATGCCCGAAAAGCAATGAAAAATGTCGTAAAATTTTTTATCAAAAACAGTTCAGATGAACAACTCAAACTGTAGTATACGGTACTGCGGTAATCGAGGCTTCTTCTATTCATTGAAGCGAATTCAGCTTTCAAACTTTCGGTTTTTGACTTTTCTTTACCACGAAATCACTGTGTTTAGTTATCCCGAAATTGGCTGAACTTACAATGGCGCTGACATTACTCGCGCCTGAAACTCGCGCTGAAATCTCAGAAGAAATCGAGTAGGATACTCAAGAATTCGGTTGTTGAATTTCGTTAAATATTATTTGAAGCAAGTAATAATGATTTCATGATATTAAAATCTATGAAAGCAGCGAAAAATGCATTAAAAATGACCGAAAAGGTAAAAGTTACTTATTAGTCGAAATCGCTGAAAACTGAAAAGACATAAAAATGGGTTATTTCCTTTTGTTATAACGTCAAAATTAATTTCTATTCTAAAGAGCATTGTTCTAAAGTGAAAAGAAAAAATGACATTTTACTAAAATCCGCTCCCTAATAATAAAAATAACATTCAAATCTAATGAATGTATTAATACCTTTTTGGAATAATAGGATCCGTCTAATAATTATGTAACGTACGCTACTGCAATATTCAAATAGCTTTTTAAAAAACAAACTTTTTGAGCTCTTTTCACGTCACTCAAGTCATTACCTTCCAGATGTCGAAATAATCACTTAACAATAAATATCCATCATTTCGATCCCCGCCAAACGACCATTTTCTTCCGAAGAGTACGAAAAATTAGAATGATATAGCAGGAGCACGAAAACATCTGCGATGCTGAAGATTTTAGACGGTAGGTGCATATTTTGCATAAAAGGAATTCCAAACTGTCTCAGATAAATTCTATACCACAAATAACGTTTACTTGCCATAACAAAACATTACTACTTGCGCAAATTTCATTGCAAAGAATACATATATTCAGTATCCCAAATATTATTTGATATTACACAAAAATGATTGGCATCATTGTTTCCTCCAATAGAAATGATTTTTTTTCATTACACTATTTCATTTACAAGCGTACTTCTGGCGGAGAATCTTCCCCAGCGTTTATCGTTTAAAATAGACTTCGTCCTCACCGGGTTCTCACCAGTCTTGAAGTACACCGGAAGGGCGAAATGTTTTCTGAACGGACATTTTAAGATCGTTATTAAAAAGATATGCATTACAACTTCCGTCTGGAAAGTAAGGTCTCATCAACAAACTGTCGTACGAGAATACAAGACCTTGCACAAAGAGCGGATGTGACGCGATAACAGACAAATATTAGCGTCTTTCCGAAACATTAAACATCTGTGAGCTAAACATGCTTTAAGTTGTGTTATTACATCACATTTTCTTCGTAGGACAACAAACGCTAAAAAAGTAAACAAGCTAACTTTATTCTATTTGTATCGGATCCGACAGGACATACAAAACGATAAGAATGCTATGACATTCATTATCAAAAAGAGCAAGACCATCCAAGGGAACTTTCTAAAAGGCGGCAAGTAAAAACACGTCCGCATTAGTTGAAAATTAGAATTGTTTTAGTGACATTTCAATTTACTGAATAAAATTAAAAAAGATGATACATTAACAAACTCGGAATTGTTTATGCAGATGTTGTTGATCTAAAGGTACATTTAGTTACTAGAGTCGTTAAAAATATTTTTCACTAATAATACCGGGGTCTACATTTAACACAATTCGGCAGACTTGAATCAAATACGAAACAAATTATTTACAAGTAGATTCTACTCGCACGATGACAAGCAAGTTACGAATTCAAGTACGCAATACACTTTGACCTACCCGTAATACATGTATTACACGTACTATATACCACATATGGACAGCCCCATACTTTGATGAAGCACCGCAAGCTGTCCAAACAAGTTTCAACACAGAAACACATAACTATAATAAATCGACATATTAGAGTTTGCGACAGTGCATTGCTCAGCAGGGCAGCAGCTACGTACCATCAGCCAAGTATTGCCAACGGTATTGCCAACCTGAGAGTTCGGGCGAAGTATCCTTTGCCCTATAATGGATCTGTATTGCCTAAAACAAAATTTAAAATATTTATTAGCGATATTTACAAAAAATATCTTTGTAGACACAATACATAAACACGAAAAATAATTTATTATTTTTGACTATGCATCATGCCAAGTGAAAAATATAAAATTTGGTCTCCTCAATCCAACCAGGCGTATTTCACACGAAATGCAAAAGAAAGCTGCGCGAAATTGAAGCGAACAATTTCAATGCTAATTTTATCACAAGTTTACAACTTCAACTTTAAAACGCCTCTAAAATGGATTCTTCTCATCAAAGCAGGAAGAAATGATATGTAGATACCTATGATTTATGCAAGATCCATTGCTATCGGACGTAAAATCGGACACCCAGCGTCGCATTCATTTCATTTTCCTTCGGCCACAACCCCAATGGAACATTGTCGACTAAGTACAGGTACTTTCCATTGTTGAGCATGAAATCATTTCCCCTCTACACAAAAACCCCAAAGTAAAAAATTAATTGTGTCTTTCACGGAATTCGAACACAACTCTAGCGATGCAAGTGATCTCTGTAGACGACAGCGGCAGCTGAAATAAAAATAGTTTCATATTTAAATTCTATAACTCGATGTCAATCAATATGTTACAACCGTATCCATCCGCTCGAATGACTCCTCGCCATGTGATACGGAAGGTACGAAAACAGCTCAGACACTGCAAAAAAGATGTAGCTTTTTCGTTTTTTCTAAAACCCCCGGGCGGTCGACCGGAAATATGAAAGCTACACAAAGAAGTTTGACGTGGACGAGTGACCGGAGAGGGAGGGGGACTAGGGCAAGGAGGCGGAGAAGCATATGTGGCTGCAGGACGACGCGATGCCGTGAGAGTTAGGAAAGGCAGGGGCAGGGACACAGCCCCAGGCGCGCAACGCGCAGCTTGACCGAGGCAACGGACTTGCTCGAACAGGCGGTTCAAGCACATGCTCTCAACAAGCGTTTATCGAAATATTCGTTTAATAGAATAGCGAGGCACACAGTGACAGAAAAATTAATTATTGAGGCGCCTTAAAATATTGTTTAATATTAAAACGATTTAAGGTGTTTCGTTCGTTTAATTGTGATCCACCAAATGCCCTGTTTTTCATACGTGATAAAAATTAGCATTTAAACAAAAAAAAACTTAACATATTTTAACCATGTCAATGTGTCAAATCAAAGTATAACATTTTAAAAAGTAACCATTTTACTCATACAATAGCCCACAAACTAAATCCTTTGAAAATTTCTATTCAAAAGATATCCCTCTCTCACTCAGCATGAGAACGACGCACGTAGTGACCGTTGTCGTGTTAGCTGTGATTACGGGAAACGTATATGACAGCCAAATACAATTTTGAGAACTTACGCGGTATCAATTAAACACAAGTAGTCAAGACTCCAAACTTTCGAAGTTACACTTGGCGTTCAAATTACATACGATGGCACTTTGCAGCTAATATAACAAACAGGCAAGGCCAGGCCGTCCCCAGGATCCCTCGGGTCCCTATTGTACCCCAAATCAAGTGTTTTTTCTTTTTTTGCAGAAAAAAACTACAAAATTAAAAATCACGAACATTCACACTATCTTCACCAGAAACAAAATAAATAAAATCTAAGAAAACGAACTAAAAATAAAAAAAATAATTAAAATGAAGTAAATAAATTCGTAGGTATACTTTCCGTAACCTTTGCACAGCCTTGAATCACCAACAACTGCTAATACTTTTTTGTGAATGTTCTGGCAGGTATTCGTAGTGTTCACCAGCGCTGGAAGGGCCATGGTACTGGCGGCGGTGGGGGCAGCGTCGCGAGGTTCGTTCGCCAGAGTAGTGGTTCTCCTGGAGAGGGTGGGGAGTGGAGCAGGCGTTTCTTTCATCAGGGGCCGAAACTCGCAAAAAGTTCTAGAGTCGGAGGGACGACGCTCGTCGGCGCCCAACAAGAGAGCCCAGCTCGCGCGAGGCGGTAGGGGGCAAGGAGGAACGGAGGATTGAGGGGGGGGCGACGGGAGGGATGATGGCTAACATTGAAGGGGCGAGGATTGGAGTGGGTTAAGTTACCAAACAGGGACGAGGGATCGTGTACACGTCGGTCGAAAGCAATAGAGAAATTTCTCGACATTCCGGATGAAATCATCGATGACACGATTTTTTTTTCAGGCTTAGCCGAAGGATTGTGTGTTTGTGGTTGTGTTGCAATTCGCACGCATTTTGCGTTTTACTGCTAAAGGCTTACTGTAAGTGGCTGGGGTGGGTTCGCGTCGGATCTTAGTCAATAACGAAATCGGCTTTTGTGTAGCACTACGCCCTCAGATCAATATCAGAGGGGAGTGCACCCACACATATAAATGCTTGTCTTCTTTGTCCTATAGTAACGTGTTTAGCTAATTGTAGGCTTCGATGAGCGAAAGTCGTCTCAAGCATTGAGTGAAGGACTCGATATCAAGTTCCTTCCTCAGTACTTTCAACCGTTTCCGAAACAGAGGGCGTGCTATGAGCCGTAGAACTTTGTTCTGTACTAGCTCAAGTCTATCGTACTTCTGTGCTGTGGTGCACCACGTTGCCACAGCGTAGTTGGCCAAGCGAATTCCAAGAGGAGTGTGGGTTCCCTCAAAAGAGGTTGTAAGAGTCGAACACTTTGCTGTAGTTTCCATCGAACTCGCCTCACATGTAAATGCCAGCGCATCCATGGATCAAATATGACGCCCAAATAAGTTGCCTTAGGCGCCCAGGTCAGTTTTTGTGTGCCAAGTGTAACTTGTTTTGGTGGCTTAAAACGTTTAGTGTATTTGTGTTAGCAGCGGGTGTAACAGATTGCCTGCGACTTTTCCGCTAAGAAAGTCAAGAGGTTTTGTAACGCCCTCTTCAGCGTCAAGGACCGTTTGAATGGCAAGGAAATCCTGCTGATTGATGACGCCTGGGATTTCTCGCGGCGCCATTTTGGTCGAAGGGGCGGAGGATGCCGCTGCTGAGGTGATGATGGTGGCAGCGTGAAACGCGGCAAGGCCCTCGGGTGCAATCGAAACCGAGACATCGTTGGTCGAAAAGACAAAGGCGCCCCGGTCCAAAAGCGAGCAGGCCCACTCCCGTTGAACGCCGTAGCCGTTTTCCATTACTGTAAATGGGAATGGCACTTATGCTCTTTCCGAAGAAAGTAACAGCTCTAGAACGAACAGAAGTACCAAGTCCTAAAAAGGACTTGAAGAGCTTAGTCCTGAAAAGGGCTGATCGTTTTTGCTCAAGTCCTAAAAAAAGCTGATGTATGCAAAATTTTTATAGTGCCGCAATGGGGGCTTCGAAAAATTTCAAAGCCCTGGGAGGGACTGATGAAAATATTTCGAAGGACGAAAAAATGCTGGGAATATTTCTGAGTCCGAAAACGAATTTTCGAACTCAAAAAATATTCAGTGGAGTATAGTGGCGGCGGCGTTCCGAAGAAACGGCTACCAGGGTAGGCAGAGGCAGGAAAGCTGTGGCCCAGGAGCTCCGATGTTCACTGGTCAGCGTCAGCAGTCAGAATGACACGATATTTAATTTTCCACACTGCAATCTCTGGTTTCTCCTCGTACGTTTTGGCAGTTTCTCTGTAGACGAGCGAGATTGTTCCCCCAATGAGACCACAATCATATTTTACCATTGCATGAAAACAGCATTTCTCTTCGGGTCATGATTTTAAATTTTTGGCATGAAGTTGCGGGTTATATATTTACTTTATTTTATTTATCGTCAAAAACCAATTAAAATTGTATATGACATATGAGGAAGAATCTGTACAGGTTTTCTTCCCCTTCGAAATCCTTTTAGTGTTATTTGATTTAATTATTAAATGTTATATCGACCGTTTTTTGAAACATTTGATACCCAGACATATTCACTCCCACGCAATATAAACTATAAGCATTGGGAAACGACAAACAGATATTGACTCTTATCCTTTAACGTACCTGAACTGCTGACTGCTGACAAAATAACTAAACTCCGCACCAACATACCACAGAGAATGTCAACTCTCGTAGAGACGAGGTTATTGACTCTGATGCCAGACCCTGGATTAACAAGTACAATACTTGTTATGTCACATTTAGCCACTGGTTCTGATGCTAAGAGATTTCGGGTACGAACATTCTGCAGGACGAATTAACAATCAGAAGCAAATGCCACATGAACAACTTTGTTACAAAAGATTTTCCACCACTTCCACAGAGTGAGGATCTTAAAACCCTTACAATGTCCCGGAAATGTGTAACATTTATTCAGAGATCTGAGTGTATTAGTTAAAAATGTGCCATGTTTTGAAAAAAAAAACATTGGATTCGTGAATGAAGAAACAACAATGAAAGGATTCCTATCCAAAAAAGACTAGAGAGAATTACGTGGATGGGATTGGCTTATTATTTGCATTCTTCTTTCCGTAATCAAAGCATCTAGGACTATAGACTTTGTTTCCTCAAAATATTATTTCATATCTCAAATAGGAATGTATTCACAAAATTTACGTAACGAGTCCCAAGATAGTTAACTGATTTCGAAAGAACTCTGAAAAGGCACTTACATGGACTAATTTTTTTATTCGATTAATTTTAATGCACATTCCATTTGAGATTTCACTGAACTGGCACACCTAGAAATGTTGCTGCCTTAATAATAGAAACATGATGTATTGCGTTTTTGTTTTCAGAGAATTTTTGATTCATCAGCGAAAAGGATCATTCTTCCGTTTCTAATCCACATGGGCTTATCGTTTACATATAGATCGAAAATAACATGGCCTAAAAGCAAACCCTGCGGGACGCTATACACAATTAGCAAGCAATTAGAAAAATGATTTACTCATGTCCTTACTCCGTGTCATGATGCCACGAATTCCACGCAAAGGTAATTCAGAAAACAAAATGTTATGATCAATAACGTCAAATGTGATGCTTTCATACTGAAGTCAACTATATGAACTGTGTGTTGAAGAATGTGTAAACAGTAGCAAGTTAACTTAGTGAACTCTAAAGATAAAGAATGTCATCCACAAAAAATATGAAAACAAATTGAGACACGATATTTTCTTTTCACGCAATAAGTTTTCAACTACTTTTTGCATTATTAATATTCATGTGAAACTGGCCATTTTCTTCCGAGAGGTTGCATGGCTCGTGAACCGTTTCTGTCGCTTTCCAAATATGAAAGGTCAAATATGCTAGGAATAATTGAGACAATTTTCAAAAAGGCTGTGTAATAATACAATTTTTCCAAGATAATAATAACTTTACATGATTTGCTACTAATTGTAAATAATAAGATCTGAATGTTCTGGTGAAGTATTAGACTATCCGCGTTCTAGAAATTTATAAATGCATTATTTTTTCATTTTGCAAATGAAACTGTTCAATACAATGTTATTCAGTTATACATATTAATTCTTACATCAACTTTAGGGAGGGTAGTAACAAATTAACAGATTGGATTTAATTCGATTTTATAAAGATCATGACTAAGGACAAATCCCATTAATAAATTGGGTTATTTCATAATTACATATTGAGATGAAAATCTCGCTCGTTATTTGTCGACAACTGAAATAAAATTTGCTTTGTACACCTGTTAGAAAAGCACATATATGCCCCATCTTTATACTCGGACAAACCGGAGAAACCCATTTACATCACAATCGATTAGTTGTCTTACGTCTGCTGTCTCACAAGCAAAGCAGAATATTGATGTTATCACACACGAAACTTACATTTATATTACTCGAAAATGGACCAAAAGTAAAAGTCTCAGCAGCGTGTCACAGCATGGTCAGTGCTTTAGATGGTGGCAAATCGAGGGTAGGAACAGCAACTCGTGATGACACGCAGGGCACAGGTGGTTCCAGGAGGGGTCAACGCGGGGTTTAGGCGGGGGATCGAGACCCGCCGCGTGCTCCCGCCCCTCCTCTGATTACCCTAAATCCAGCATCGCCGAGGCGATACCCGAGACTAGGAACGGGGTTAGTCGCCTATTCCTGAGCTCCGAGAGCACTGGGAGCCGGCGGCGGCGGCAGCGGACGAGGCGACAGGGCGCGAGACTCCTCGCGAGTGAGCGTCCAATCGCCGGGCTCTTGTCTGGCTGCGGAATGGAATTGGATCACGACCTCTGCAAACACGACTTGGCACGGCGGGGCAACAGGGAGCCGGCCGTGGGGAGGTGGCGGGCTGGCGTGGGCGCGACGATGTTGCGGGGCTGGGTCGAGTGAGGTAGGGTGGGGTGGAGAGAGGGCGGTAGCGACGGCTCCACAGAAGTCGAGGGGAGGTGACGGGTAGGCGGCGACGAGCGTTGGTGGTCAGAGATGGGGTGAGGGCGAAGAGAAGGAACTGGCGGTGGAAGGGAGGGGACGGAAGTGGCCGGGGCGAGCGAAGCAGGACCTTCCACCCCCTTGAGAGTGGAGGCAGCCACGATACCGAAGCCGCCGATACCGGAAGGACCTCCTTCTACCTCCACTTCCATCTCTGTTCCCATCTTCACTTCCGATTTCACCCTCGAGCCCGCATTCGAACTTACTCTCCCTCTACTTTGTCCTCGATGTCGCCAGATTGCGATGGCTAGACTGGCTGCGGGTTCGTCTCCATCACCTGCTTGCCTCCGTCCTCCGTATTCGTTTAATTATATACGCGTTGTATAGCTGGAATATTCAGAAGAGAATAATCCAAATTCAGATCAGGTATTGTTCTTCCGCCAATAATTTCGCAATACGCAATAATGTTTTTACGAAAAAAAGAGACAGCACTTTCTTGATTACTATATTACAGATCACACGCCAAATAAAGTACTGATGCGGAAAATCATATCTTCATTATGAAAATCTTAACTTGGAAAATTCAATGGCAGAACAAAAACACATAAATCATGCACTGATGTATTCTGCACACAAGAGGGGATTAAACAAAAAAATCTAATATTTTCCAAAAATATAAGATATTAAAAATCTATATTTCATGGAGATGAAATCGTTTTTCTACGCATTAGAAAAGGTGCGTTTATTTCCCGATACTTTCTGGTTAACACCCCCGCCTTTCTCCCAACACTACTGTACCTGAAAAATGGTTAGTTGTACTGAAATATGTGCGTAACATCTGAGAGTTACATTTTGTTAAAAAGCAGGGACACTTGTAACATTTATACGGGTATTTCTTACACTCAAATATTGCAGTAAGAATACAGAAATACACACGTGATAAAAGATGCTCTCACGGCAAGAATTTCAATGAATAGCACAGCATTTAATTAAATGTACTGTTTTCCTCCATCAAAACATTTCGTGTGTCTCTCTCGTTTCCACGTCGTACAATCGCTGCCACGCCACACAACTCGGCGAATGGAGAGAGCCTGGGCGTCTACAAATTCCACGTATTTGTCACGTATGGTGGAAATCGCGGCTGTGAAAAGTATTCTCTACGAGTTACTTTGTCGATACGTTCGATTCGTCGGGGAAATTTCTGAGGACTTCTGCTGGGAAAGAATGTAAAAAGAACTAAGGAACAAACTCTGCCGACTGACAGAATATTTACGAATTGACGTATTTCCTATTCCATCAGATTTACTGTGGGCCCGGGCGTGACTTTCGCATCGTGTGAGCGAGAGGGCGACCGAGTGGGTGGGGTAGGGCGAACGGAACGCGTGGGCGCTACGACGAATCACGACAAAAAAGTTGTGGAGAGGCGGCCGCCCCAGTGTGGCAAAGAGAGAAAGAGGCGGGCGGGCATATACAGCTTGCGATCGGCTGCGGGTCGAGGGTTGATGTTAGAAAGCTTGGGATGGAAAATGTGTTTTATTGCTAGAGAGAAGGCGAAATAACGTTCGATTCTGAGCATTTGGAATGAAGACTCGTCACCACAAAGACTGTAAAATGAACCGTTAGATAGTTGTGGTGAAAAGGTATACGTCAGATTTTGGTGCAAAGAGGCTCTGTGCCCGGCGAATTTGATACAATATTAAATCTGAATCAAGAAGAATGATGTACGGAGATAAGTATTGTATTGTTATCTAACAGCCGACCCTTACGGAACTAATTTGAAAGCACGAAAACAAACAACTCCGTAACGACTCCCGCATGCCGTTCTTTGACATACGGTGGTGGCTCAACACATTTGGCGAGTACCCACGCGACCGCTCGGTGAATCCCGAGTACTTACTATTGTAGCGTCGTGTCGCGCTACAAATCAGAGACAAACACGTGGCACTCGGCGGGCATCGCCGGATGTTGAACAAAGGGCGGAGTGATGACGCCCGAGAACTTTCCGTGGACGTAGCGTGGCCAGGGCGGCTGTTGAGAGGAGGCAATGGGGGACGGCAAGTAGCGTCAAAGGGCCTATTTAAGCCCAGGAGTGCAATGCTCCAATCTTCTTGTTCTAGCGGCGTCGGGGACATGTGATGCGTATTGTCTGTGCGAGTAGGTGCACTTGGGCGAATTCATTGTCGTGACTTGCGAGACGCGTAGATGGTCTCAAGGTAGTGCGGTTCTTCACGCAGGGAACATCGGTAGTATGTTGCGGTGTGGTAGCCGTTCGTAAATTATCTCTCCTTGTAGTGGGTCTATTTATTTACTTTATTGTAAGCAGGGCAGTTGTTTAATTGAGACTACGGTCTAAATTGTGAATAAATCTACTGCTTTACAAAGCACTCGTCTGTGTTCCGATTACACCCGTATGACGCCACACTATTCACAGAGTGCCAAACATTCGGTACTCGACCTAAGTGCAGGGTGTCGATCTTTAGGACAAATCAAATGACGCAAATATTCGCAGAGCAAGCACCTCGGTCACTAGGGAGTGGGAGAGCAGTCCGCTAGCTACTCGCCGCATACCGAAAGTGTAGAGACGCCTTAAGACGTAGTACAACAAGGCAAAAAAGAGATCGCTGAAATTTCGCACAGCCACAGTAGACAGCGCGCAGTATCGTGGAGGTGGAGGCGAACAGGGGAGTGAGAGCGCCGTTGTCGACCGAACGCCGATCCCGCGTGTGCGGAAGTTTTGCGCCTGCTTACGACCGTAGGGTGAGCTTCCTGCGTCGAAACGGCCGTTCCGCTCACGCTCCCCAAACTCCCGCCGTGCTCGCCTACCCCCGTCCTCCCGCGCCATGGCGACGGCGACGCCATTCGCGTCCGCCTCCGAAAACTAATGGAGCCGGAGTGAGATGTTTTCTTTGGCGCAATCATACTCGTTTTGGAACGCGCGCGCTTTGGCTTTGAATAGTAGAAACTGCAAAAAAGTTGACCATGTGTTACTGAAAAGCGAAAACAACTGACGGTAAAGCGTGTGGAAAAACAGCCAGGGTAAACCTAGCAGCTGGAACGGCCCGCCTCTTCTCGTCGAGGCACCGCGTCAGGTCAAACCAGAGATAACAGTGTACGTATTATTCAAACCCTCGCCGAGCAAGCAAACGCGCGCCCGACGCCCCGACGCACGAACACGAACTAAACAAGTGCATTCACTAACGAGGGCTAATTCACATTAGTCAATGTTCACTAGCACATGCCTAAAATGTTTTCCGGCATTCCTACATTTCAACACATTATAGCTGCACTTTCACTAATATCGAGTACCTGCCTCGTTCCGCAGATACCACATTATGCAGAATAAAATGCCATCATTTCGCGAAAATTGGGATAGTGGGAGTACTTAACGCGCTTTCCATTTTTCCACTTTAAAACGTTTTGGACAGAAAATAATAAATATCTGCATGTACTTTTAGTTAGTCATGTGAATCACCCATTATTTCGGACTGAAAATGTTCCACAAATTCTTCATTAGTTTTATATTTAAAGCGTCTTTTGTTTCCAACTTCTCGCTCTCTACTGACTTTCTACTATTCCAGGTGAACAGTGGTACTGCACTGCTCCAGGTGAACAGTGCACATCAATCCACGAGTAGGGCCGATCACTGTATCCTAGATCGGCATTACGTTTAGCGATATCGTCGCGTTTCAGCGAAAACAATTGCAGGATTCGACTGTAAACTTCCACTGGTACAAACGTGCGTTTCGGGTGTAAGGTTTGTCATGCGGTACATGTCATAAAGGTACATGATCAAATGGCCCTAAGGGATTGTTGGGACCAGGGACTACGAGGGGTAGTTGACTCAGCCGCCGATAGATGGCAGCCGGAATTCGGGATACACCATTTAATATTTTGACTTTGACACCCTCTAATACAAAATTAACTTTCTCATAATTTTAGATTTGTGCTAGAAACGTTACGAAAATATTAGAAATGAGAAGCGTTGAAGAAATAATTTCAAGTGCCATAAGAGAAAGAGGCGTACAGAATTGTTCTTCATATATTTATACGACTCAATAAGCTAGTGTTGGGTCTTCATCTGTTCTATTTCACCAATTAGTCAACGAAGCATAATATTCGACACACACAGACGGTATGCAAGCAAAAGAGCGAACATTTTAGTGTTCTTAATTAATTCTCAAATCCTGTCTAAACAATATTTTTTTTCATTTTGGCATTATGCATGTTATTGCTCATATCACATTTATAGATAGTTCGTTCAAAAGAGTAATCCAAAATTGGAACAATTTACACTAAGCAAATTTTAAACAAAAAATTAATTTCCGACGCCCAAGAAGTGGTGAACTTCGTTACGTCATTCCTGTACCCTACGGCCCTTACACCTAACCACACGCGGGGTGTTTCGCTGTAACATCGTCACCAAGCCCATTCGATTTTTTTTAGTTTATGCAATCGCATCAGGTTAACGAAGGGGCTCATTGTTCGTTTTCTTAAATTGGTCTCGTCAAATTCGTCTGAAACAGTTCAAAGGTTTACATCATCTGGAATTATAATATAATTTATCAAATGGGAGTGTGGTGCAAACCCACGTACTTGCAATTTGAAATATGATCAGAGTAATGCTATAACGTGAAGGGCTTTTCTAATTGAGACAACAGATATGGCTGGCGCCGTGTGGACAAGCTGCGCCGATGACCTCATTTGATCTTGAAAATAGAAAATCTCAGGCAACATCTCGGGAAATCATCAACCTGAAAGGAATACCTTCTCCCTTTCTAACTTTGGCGGAACGAAATGCATTGAAGGTGAAAACAAATAATAAAACGATACTCATTTCAATACCTAAGTGAATAACTTTCACAATTAAAAAAAGTTTAATCCCACATATATTGTAGTAGTTTATCTTTACAGTACACGCACATTTACATTAATTTATCATTTACTTTTGACTCATGATTTATGAAAGAAGCGCACTTTTCATAAATAAACTCCTGATTTCATTCTCTACTTTAACTCATTTGCATATACGTTAAAAAATAAATGTCACACGAAATTAACTTTTATACTACAGCGATGTCCGTTTTATCACCCAATACGGTTGAAACCGACGTTTAATTTACAAAACACCTCACATTTTAGAGTTGTACGCTACACCACTCGCGTCAACATCGTGGTAGATAGCACACAGAAGAGTATCTATGATACGTGAACTAGTAAATTTTGA